GCTACATGCCTGTTGGACTGACACGAGGGTTTTTTCTAGGCCCAATTCGGACGGTCGGGCCCTGGCTTCTATGCAGGCGCCTGACAAAGTTGGCCTGGGGCATATGCCGGCGGTGGAGCCTGCCATTGCCTCCTTGATTGTACACCCTGAAGAGGCTCTGCGCACTAATGCCCGGTGCCCTCGGCCGCAGTGTCGGGCCACAGATGACCTGCTCTGCAAGGCCTATGACATGGGGGCCCGCATGGGCCGCATTGGGAACTCCCTGTCTCATCTGCTGCTGGGGCTGTCCGCTTCTCTGGAGGCTGTCACATTGGACCAGTCCACGCAGGGGATGGTGGATGCTTCCTTGCAGGCTTTTGCCTTCATGTCTAGGGAACTGGGGCGTCTCCTCTCTACGCTGGTTCAGACTCGCCGCCAGGTGTGGTTGGCGCAGTCCCCTCTCTCCGAGGCCAGCCGCAGAGTGTTGAGGAGCGTTCCTGTGCTCCCTGGAGAGCTGTTTGGCTCGGCTGCCATTGCGGCTCTGGAGCGCACGGTCCAGGCCACTCAGACCCGGCAGCAGTTGGTGGGACTGCACAGGCATCCCCCGCGTGCGTCCGCTTCTGCTGCCCCTGTGCGCGGGCGGGTGGCCCCGCCCCGGAGTTTTTCTGTGCCCCGGACGGTGGATGGGCCGTCGGCTCATGGGGCTCGGCGGGGGAACTTTCCCCCGGCTCAGGCTCCACTGCGTCCCAGTCGTCGCCCCCCCAGGCCCGCTAAAGGCCGGGGTGCCCTCCGGTGAGGCGCCGGGGCCGGTGGTGGGACGGTTTACCCCGGGACAACTTGGTTACTGGAGGGCCCAATCCCCCGATGCATGGGTTGTGGCCACTTTGTCCGTGGGGTATCGTCTCCAGTTCCGCCGCCGGCCTCCTGTTCCCGGCCGGGTCCTTGTGACTGTCATCCAGGACCCGGTCAGGGCGCAGGCACTTGTCCGGGAGATTCGTACTCTACTGGACAAGGATGCCATCGTGCCTGTCGACCCCCTGCTGGATCCAGGGGGCTTTTATTCCCGTTATTTTCTTGTACCGAAAAAGACCGGCGACTTGCGACCGGTCTTGGACCTGAGGCGTCTGAATGTTTTCTTGAAGGTCCTCCCTTTCAAGATGTTGCGTGTCCGGCAGGTCCTCCAGGCGGTGTCCCCTGGGGACTGGTTCACGTCGATAGACCTGAAGGACGCCTACTTTCACGTCCCGATTGCTCCTCAGCATTGCCGGTTCCTGCGTTTTGCCTTTCAGGGGAGGCACTTCCAGTTCAGGGTGCTTCCCTTCGGCCTCTCGCTCTCTCCTCGGGTCTTTACGAGATGCGTGGCGGCGGCTCTTTCCCCGTTGCAGGCCAGGGGGTTGAGGATCCTGCCCTATCTGGACGATTGGCTGATCTGTGCCCCCACTCGCGAGCAGTCTCTGCGGGATACGCAGGCTGTGATAGAGCACGTGACCAGGTTGGGTCTGCGAGTGAACCTGGCAAAGAGCAATGTGGTGCCGTCTCAGCAGGCTTTGTTCCTGGGCATGGCTCTGGATTCCCTGTCTATGTCCGCCCGCCCCTCGCCTCGACGTGTCGGGGACATTCGGGCGTTGCTCCCGGGCTTCCGTCGAGGACGGTCGCTCCCTTACCTGGCGTTCCTCAGGCTCCTGGGCATGCTGATTGCAGCCTCGTCTGTGGTCCCCCTGGGTCTTTTGTCCTTGCGCCCGCTGCAGATGTGGCTCAATGGCCTGGGGCTGGACCCGGCCAATCCTGTTCACAGACGTCGGCGGTTACTGGTGTCTCCTCGGTGTATGGAGTCACTGTCCCGGTGGCGCGACGAGGCGTTTGTGCTGACGGGCGTCGCGCTGGGTCCCCTGCCGTCCCGCCGGGAGGTGGTGCATACGGACGCGTCCCTGACAGGGTGGGGCGCAACGTGGCAGGGGCGTGCGGTTCAGGGCGTCTGGCCGGTGCGGCAGAGGGGGCTCCATATCAACGTCCTGGAGCTCCTGGCCGTTCAGCTTGCGCTGCGCCATTTCCTGCCGGTCTTGCGGGGGCGGCATGTGTTGGTGCGGTCGGACAACACCAGTGTGGTCTATTTCATCAACCACCAGGGGGGAACTCGGTCGGAGTGCTTGCTGACAGTGGCACGAGGGCTGTTGACTTGGGCCTATCCCCGTCTTGCGGGTTTGACCGCGATGCACATCCCAGGGACTCTGAATGTGTCGGCGGATTTCCTGTCGCGCCACGTTTCGCTGCCGGGCGAGTGGCGGCTACACCCGGAGGTAGTGGTCTCCATTTGGGGGTTGTTCGGCCGGGCGAGGGTGGATCTCTTTGCCTCTCAGGGAACGACTCATTGCCCGCTGTGGTTCTCCCTGTTGGAGTCCACCGGTCCCCTGGGTCAAGACGCGCTGGCTCACGACTGGCCCAGGGTTCTGCTGTACGCGTTCCCGCCGTTCCCTTTGATCCATCAGACGCTGCTCCGGGTCCTTCAGGAGGGCCACAGGATGATACTGGTGGCCCCGTATTGGCCGGGGAGGACATGGTTTCCCTTGCTGCTCAGGCTCTGCTGCGGCTTGGCGAGACCCCTTCCCTCCAGGCGGGATCTCCTGTCTCAACTGGGGGGCCGGCTTCTCCATCCGGACCCCGGCCGCCTGCGGCTTTGGGTGTGGCACCTCCGGGGACCGGTTTAGCGTTTACAGCCTATACTGGGGAGGTTGGCCGCACCATGTGCAATGCCCGGGCTCTGTCCACACGCCGGCTGTATTCCTGTAAGTGGAACGTGTTCGACGGGTGGTGTCGTGGCAGGGGACTCGACCCGCGTCTCTGCTCGGTGACGTCCATACTGACCTTCCTTCAAGAACTGCTCAGTAAAGGCCGTTCTCCGTCCACCCTGAAGGTATACGTTGCTGCGATTTCGTGTGGGCACGCTGGGTTTGGTGGGACTAGTGTCGGTCGTGTTACTGACGTTTCACTGTTTTTGAAAGGTGCCCGCCGGTTGCACCCACCCTGTCGTCCTGTGGTGCCGGCTTGGGACCTCTCGGTTGTCCTTGATGCCCTGCGTTCCCCGCCATTTGAGCCTTTGGGGGAGATTGCCCTCAAGTGGCTGTCTATGAAGACAGCGTTTCTCCTGGCTATGGCCTCCGGACGGCGGGTGAGTGAACTCCATGCTCTGTCGGTGACCGAGGCCTGTTGTCGTTGGCATCCTGACGGCTCGGGTGTGTCTATGTGGCCGGATGTGTCCTTTGTCCCGAAGGTGTCTTCTGGTCGGTATGACGGGCCCCTTCAGTTGGCCCGTTTTGGTTCTGGTGAGCCCCCTGACCCTCTGTGCCCTGTTCGTGCACTGGAGGTGTACATTCGCTCCACGGCCTCGATAAGGCGTTCAGACGCCCTGTTTGTCTGCTGCGCCGGCCCTCGCGTTGGTCGGGCTCTGTCCAAGCAGCGTCTCTCCCACTGGGTCGTGGGGGTTGTGACAGAGGCCTATGCCTTGCGGGGGCTGCCGTTACCGCCTGGGGTGAGGTGCCATTCTACGAGGGGCATGTCAACTTCGTGGGCTGCTGTGAGTGGTGTGTCGTTGGACGTCATCTGTGCGGCGGCGTCATGGTCGTCCCCAAGCACCTTCGCCAGGTTTTATCGGGTTAATGTTGCCGCCCCGCACCCCCTGCAGGGGGTTCTGCGGCGCCGCTCATCCGTTTCACAGTAAGGTGAGGTTCTGGTTGGTTTCCTCGTGACCTTGCTGATATTCGTCATCCAGTGCTTAAGCACCGCCTCTGGCGGTCAGGAAGGATGAAATAGAACGAGAGTTACGACTGTAACTACGGTTGTATGAATCCTGGATGACCGCCAGAGCGCCCGGTCCCTCGGAATCCTTGTGCAAGAAAGGTTCTAGGGACTGTGCTTCCGGTGTCACGTGGCTTTATAGACTCTCGCGTGAGCTACCGGAGGTCACGGGTGACTTTGTTGTTATTTGACTCTCGATCTGTGCATGCGCGAGGATGATCATCCAGTGCTTAAGCACCGCCTCTGGCGGTCATCCAGGATTCATAGAACCGTAGTTACAGTCGTAACTCTCGTTTTGGTGTTTTGTTTCTCCTTGCCTCCACCTCTCAGACCCTCCCACCTCCAGCTGAGTGACGTCCCACTCACACCTGTGGGTAATCTGCTGGGAGGTATAAAGGGCCGGGATCGAGACCAGGCTCACTCTCTTCCACTTGGGCCTGGATCCTGCGGCTGCACACCCGTGTGACATTTTTGTGCATTTATTTATATGTAAATAAACCTTGTTACTTTTTAGACCCCGTTTCCTGTCTATGTTCCACCCCCCGGTTCTTTTTGTGTTACTGAGTCACACTCTCTAGACTTCAACACCCAGTGGCTCGTAATACGTGGGGGCTCGTCCAGGATCCAGTGGAACTGCGGTGGGTGCACCAGGAGTCGTGCGCTCTGGGTGAGTCGCGTGTGCGTGTGTGTGGGTGCGTGTGACATTCAGTGGCAGTCAACTCCAAATTGACCCAGCTAGACTAGGGGGGTGTCCAGCTTGGTTGATTTATTCGCCATTCCTTCGGGCATCCGTTTTTTGTTTTAGTTTATTATTTTCGGGACGAATCCTGGGCGGAGTGGATTCTCTGACGGGGGCTGCACGCCTCGAGCCCGGCAAGTCCCAGAAGATATTTAGGTTAAGTTTTTCCTGAGTAGGAGTCTGGGTCAATACCTGTGTTTGCACTGATTTGGTTTTGTCCTTAAGGCACCCTGCATAACCTCTTTTCACCCGTGTGCGAGTGTGCGTGGGTGTGCATAAGTTTTGAGCGCAGCTGTGTGCGGGCGCGTACTTGGCACATCCCAGGAGGCGTGTCGTTGTGGAGAGCAGCAGCAGGTGTGGTCAGCTGTGAGTGGGATCAGCTGTGTATCAGGATCCGTGATTGCCTTTCGTCCGGTGAGTGATGGCTACATTTGTTTTAGAAGCCTTGGTGGCTGAACCAACGCAAGTGGCGTTGACTTTGTGTGGCAAAATGGATTTGCGCGTGGAGCAGCCACAGGTGGGCTCTCCTTCTGCGCCGTTTGAAGAGACTGAGGTGAGGTCTCTGAGCCTGGTTCGTTCTCCCCGTGATGTGCTCATGGATGTGCGCATTGCTCTTTTGAAGTACGAGAGGGAGAAGGAGGAGCGTGAGTTTCAGCTAAAGCGTGAGATTGCGTTAAAGCGTATTGAAGCGGAGGCTGTTACTGCTCGCGAAGTGGCCTTTAAAAAGATAGAGGCTGACGCTGCGCTTAGGATGCGGCAATTGGAGTTGCAATCAGCGGGTCGCAGTCCAGTTTCCTCGTCACCTGTGGTCAGTGCGCCTGAGTTTGACGTGACTCAAAATATCCCGCTTGTCCCAACTTTCCGTGAGACTGAGGTTGAGTCCTATTTTTGTGTTTTTGAGCGCATTGCAGGGGCATTACACTGGCCTAGGGATGTGTGGGCAATCCTTCCGCAGTGCAACCTAAGTGGCAGGGCGTCTGAAGCGTGTGCATCTTTGGCAGTCTCAGACATGTTGGACTATGACTGTGTGAAAGGTGCTATTTTGCGGTTCTATGAGTCGTGGCCCAAGGCTCATAGTGCTTACGTTAGTCCCGCGCACGTAGTTGGAGCTTTCCCTATAGCTGTTCGTGACAAGCGTTTTGACCTACGCTCAGTCTGAAAGAGGGAGGCAGAGTGACGTTGGTAATTCTGTGCTTGCTCCTGATTTTGCAGGTGTTGGTGCGCCCTCGTGTGGACGGACTGATAACACCACGGTTTACATTGAGAAGCCAGAGTTAATCACTTCTGTGTCCCCTCCACCCACAGATAAGAAAGCTGGTCGCAAGTTCAGTCTGGCTGGACTTGTGTTAAGTTGCGGCATACCTGGACCAACCAAACTGCTTGACGAGGTCTCTACCGAAATCAGACAGTTTTACCCTGGTGTGTTTCGGTTTTTGTCCTTCATGGGCATGGTGTTGGCGTTGGCAATGCTGCTGGCTCTGCAGCGCCTACATTTTTTGTTGGGTCGCCTTGTGACCCGGTAACTTTCTTTTCAGACCACAACACCCTGGTTTCCCTGGCCCTGATGTCCAACCCGGATCAACGGCTGCTGCAGGGGCGCTGCTGACTGTAGACTACACCGTTCGTATCAGCACTGGAGTGGAAAGGACCATGTTGTGGCTGAGGCCTCTTGGCGTCACAGGGGACTTGCATTACCACTTGGGTGGTGGTGGTGGCACCCATATCCTTTCCCACTTTGTGAATTAGTTTGTGTTTTACAGAAGAACCTGTCTTCCTGTTAACGAGGAGTAGAGCTTAGTTTTTATGGGGGGAGGTGTTACGGACAAAGTCCTTTTGGTTTTGGTGTTTTGTTTCTCCTTGCCTCCACCTCTCAGACCCTCCCACCTCCAGCTGAGTGACGTCCCACTCACACCTGTGGGTAATCTGCTGGGAGGTATAAAGGGCCGGGATCGAGACCAGGCTGACTCTCTCTGCCAACTTCGACCGTCCGTTGGACCTCACCTCTTTTGGAGCATTTTGTTTTGTGATTGAACAGTGGTTCTTTTGCACCTCTTTTAATAAACCTTTTACTTTTTGGACCTCCGCCTCCCGTCTCTGTTCCACACCCGGTTCTAATTTTGTTATTGAGCCACACTCCTAGACACCACCACCTTGTGGCTCGTAATACCCTAGATTATGAATATTGTTGAATCCATAATTACCCAGTAATAATTTCTCCTACATAAGTCAGATATCTGCACCTACCATCTCCTGGGTTGTTCATCAAAGTATGTAGAGCTGTTTTTTGAAGACGTTACAATGTGACAATCCATATTACAGTCTCTGGATGCACCAAAATATGTCACTTTTATGTGCGACTTTAGAAAACCTTTACAGATATTTCCCTGGTGGAAAGACAAGTGCACCTCTCGATGACTTCAGGCCGAGCTTCATAAAAAGGAGCGCGTTCGCAGTTTCACACTTTATGCACCATGGTTTCTGAAGGAAGTAAACAGAGCAAAATAGAAAGTCTGTTTTTAGCATCAAAAAAGGGTTGAGTCTGTGAACCGCAGTCTGTCACTTCTCAGGCTCATCGAAAGGCCCATTACAACTGCTCAAGCAAGGCAAATATAGCATTATAGATCAACAGTATATATGTTGTACCATTCAGGCTTATTGGAGTTTTGTGGAAGTGCAAATGAGAGCGAGCAGGCGGAGCGCATTAGTGAGGAGTGGAAGAGAAGTCTGCTGGCGTGTGAGATTTAGAAAGGCTCTCGACCAGAGGAGCTGAGGTCGCGTGTGGCTGCAGGTGTACAATAGAAACCGGAAGTTCACACATGTATTTTTACAGTTATTTCATAATAATGCATTTTTTATACAGCAACATACATTTCCAGGGAACCTCAAAGTGTTACAGATCAAAATACAACACCACAAACAAAGCAAAAGTAGTGGAAAAAAAAACAAAAAAAATCATACGTATTTATAAAAACTAAATATTCAGTTCATATGTAGGTCAGTTATTGTCGATGTTGCTCTCTATGCCCTCATTCTGCCAACCTACCTTGCTCAAGACACGTGTCAGAAGTGTCTTGATTAGCGGTGGCCACCAAAAAAAAAAAAACGGCCGTATCTCTGTTCTCCAGAGATAATGAGGGCCGGAATTATTCATCCGTACACTCCTTTTCTTCCCAATTCTCTTTTGCATTAAATATCTGTGAGAACAAGGATGGAGGAATAACCTTAGTGAGGCTTTGATCTTGAACCAAAAGTCAGATTCATTTGACGACACTCTGCAGATGTTTCCAAGTGATCTTCACACGGAGCAGAGACGTCTCATTTGAATATTTTGTCACTAAGTTCGAAGAGAAGCGTAGAAATGACATTCTCAACTTTATGCGACGGTTTTATGAAGGAAGACTGCATAATGAAAAAGTTCAACCGCAAACATTAAAAACATGGCTTTAATCAGTTTCGTCGCATCCTAATTATTCACTATGAAAGAGCTTATGTCTTTGAGAAGCACGATATAACATTGACTTATTTACCAGACTCTTTGATCACTGTTTCGTTAGATTCTTTTACCAGTGTTCTTATTATACCCTATTATTAAAATAGTGTTCAACCAATTTATCACAGGAAAGCAATCAATTTCCTATGGATTCTTGCATGTTTGAGTAATCCTGTGCTGTCTTGAATTTGAGAATATAGTAAACACAATGAAGCCATGATCTATGTGTGGTACGGTTTATTATGAAATACAGATTATCTCCACATACTGTATGTTGTGTCGATGCTGAAAATAGTATACGCTCGAGGCTTGAAATGCAGTGGTCTTTGTGTGGAGTTTGCATGTTCTGCCCATGTCTTCTTAGAATACTTTTGAATGAAAAGTAGCCTTAAGCCAATTTCAGCGTATTTATTTAACACCCGCCTCATTTTGGCTTGTGCAAACAAGTTTGGCATATCCAAATGTCTTTGCTTATTTAAAAACAAATCTTACATGTCACATGCTTGTGTGATGCATCATTTTAAAGCTAGAGCCTTCTAGTTTATGTAAATACACACTAAAATGATATATGTCATTCCCATTTCACTCTGCATCCTTTGAAGTTTGGGGAAAAAAACTGTTTTTTTAGCCTCGCCTAAAATGTTCAATTTCTAAAGGCCGAAAAAAAAAAGCCTACTTCATTGTAAGAAGACAATATTCAAAGCCAATATGGTCATTGTGTTGTTGGCAACACCTGTATAAAGTTTCTGACTTCTAAGTTTTATAGTTTTTATGCAGTTTCTCTTTTTTATCAAGTAGTGCCATTTGGAACCAATTTTGCACACTTTGAACCAATTTGGCACCAATTTGGCACACATTTGTGCCAAATTGCTTTACTGATATTTCATCATCATAAAAACCATATTATTATTTTTGGTACTTATAAGTTACTAATCTGTGTGATTTGTTTAAAAGAAATCCAAAGTTAATTTTTTACGAGTGTAAATTCATTGCTGCTCCGAGAGCGTCTTTCTAACTGCCGTTACACAGCCTTCTATTGACACACACAGTACACAAATGTCCCACCCATTTTTTTAAAGCTTTCCTCATTGGCTACAAGGACATCTCAATCATTTGGCAAAACGACGCTTCCCTAGCCCTCCGGATAACAACAAATGTGAAGTGACCATGGGCAAAAAGCAGCCGCTTGTTCTACTCACGGAGATGTTGCAGACGTAAACAAGCTCGTACCTGTTCGGGAATAGTCTCATTTTGTAGCTAACGAGTGGGGTAATACGAGCATACCCTGTGTGTTGGTGAAAAGCAAAGCTAAAGGTCAGCTAACAGTGAAAGAGCAGCCTCTGTTCTCTTTGAGAACTTTTTTTTCGCTATTTTGGATTATTTTTCATGAATGGATTATACTTTGGGAAATGCAAGTGGATGTTCTTTTTCAATGGACATCTACGGAGAGAAAGAGACATAGGAAGGTGCGAGGAGATCTTATTTATTTATGGAGCACAAGAGAAAAGGTAATACACTTTTTTGGACGTGAATTATTTTGTGCCCATATTATGTGTTATATCTTTTGAATGCAAAGTCTGATGTAGATGAGAAAATAAGCTTTAAAATTATATACAGCTTTTGGGGATTAGTGTTAAAAATACATCTGCTACAGTATTGCCAGCAAAACATTTAAAAAATAAAAATTGGTGTCAAAGCATTATGTTGTAAAAAATATATATATTTTTTTACATCGTCATTTTATGTTTTAGAATGAGAAATCTTATCTTAAAGATGCAGTAAGCGATTTTGTTAGCTTAGCCGTGGCACCAATTTGAAACTACTCCCCCTCCCCTCGCCTCTCCACCAAACCAAAACAACCGGCACACATGAACGCGCATCCACAAGTGATATCATCTGTCATCAGTTGAACATGTCACATTCTCCTGATGAGCAGAGGCGTCGCGTATCACGGCTGCTGCTGTCTCTGAGGTCTATGGTGGAGTGTAGAGGACAGTGTAATGTGTTCACTGACCCTAATCATCAAACCGATGGGTTGTGTTTGTACGTTTACTCTGCACGCTGTCCTAATACAGTACAGAAGTGGTGCAGCAGCCGTTACTATTTAATGGCTGGCGCGTATGTTAGTATTTGGGGCGTTCACAGGCGGTCGTACAAAAATTATTGACATGACAGAAAGTGCGGTAGAGCAGTAAAGTCCACATCTACGTGTTTGTCCTCATGGTACCTGGGGCTGTTGTGGTCAGACGTGAGACTTTATGAACTGCGTGAAGGAGAGACCCGCGTACGGCCGTTATGTGTGATGTCAGTGCCAGATCTCAGATGTCCTCCGCGATTATCACACAATTCAGTCATGTTTAGACAATCCAACTCAGGTTCGCCCACTCGCGAGAAACAGGAAGAGGGTGAAGCGGGTAAACGCATCCCATTGGTTCGTTGGGGATGAACGAATCCCATTGGTTTATTTTTATCGGCCCGCTCCAAAGTCTTATTTGTTAATTTTTGGAGACAATAGGCATCTGGTCAATCTCCCTTACTATTTGAAAACACATGATTGCTTGACTACTTTTAGGGTTTAGGGACGTTTTCCCACAACATTTTTAAAAATGCATCTGGAAAAAAATCACTGACTGCATCTTTAAGTAGGAAATGCATTATGTTGCTTTCTCCCTGTGCTACCGCCAAAGGGAGGGGTTATTTTTTTTTTTCCAAAACAGATTTTTGTTTTGGCTATAAACACAGCTGTGCAATTGTAAGAAATGTCAAATAATATCACTTGAGACATTCCCAAAATAGATTTATGGTCAGTTCATTTATTATAAAAAGGCAGAAAACTGCTCTGAGCAAAGTGCTACAATGACATCAAATGATTACAGAACTGAGACGGACATTTTTAGAAAGAAGGTTCCTGATTTCAGCATGGATGGATCTCAAAACAACTCCAGGTTTGTTTGTTTGTTTTCTCCTTTAATACACACAATACCATTCAAAAAGTATGAAAAGTTACAATAGACCGGTTTGGAGACGAGGGTA